AGAATTTACTGTACTTCTTTTGGGTTATTTTGGACTTCACCCATCGTCTGGTAAAAGACAAAAGACCACGACATTTCGGAGACTGGATCTGTATCTGTCTTCAGGTAGATTGGGAAGGATAAACCTACTCAGTTGGGCCTGTTAGAAAGAGCCAGTCTCAATCACTCAATCACCTGAAGACGGAGACAGATCCAGTCTCCGAAACATCGTGGTCTTTTGTCTTTTACATACCAGACGATGGGTGAAGTCCAAAATAAGCCAAAAGAAGTACAGTATATATACGTACCATTGTCAGAATCCTTTCAAGTCTATCCCAGAAATTACTGTAATCACAAAAATAATTGAAAATGCATTTTGATGGAAATTCAAGTGCTGGGTGGCCAGCTGACTTTTACTTATTATATCGAAAACTTGGCATGAGAAATTTGAGCGAGTCTAACTGTAGATTTGGTTTAATGTGTGTATGAATATTTTGAAGATAATAATTAGTGCTGAATCAGTTGTTAGTAATAGAACTGTTATGCATTTCAGTATGCTTCTAAAGTACGTGTACGTTCAGTAAGGGAAATAAGTTCCCCAGTCACTTCAAAGTGGCAGACCCCGGAAGCAGAGGCTAGAATGGTTGAGAGCTGTGGGCTTCCCTGGCTAAGGGTGGTTGTACTCTAAGGTATGATGTGAAATCCCCCTGCCTTAAGCAAGTGAGGCTCTGTGGGGGGGAATGACATTACATGTCTCCAGCTACAGTTGATGGAAGGAGCTACTGTAGTGGTTCTTGAAGATTTTTAGCAGCCCTCTTGTCCCACTGGGGCAGGATGAGACATATCTAAAGACTTCTCTGAAGAGGTCTTTGGATATTTCCAGTCAGCAATGGAGGGCTCAGCTGCTAGATCCACTACTGTCATAGGAGCATTTTGATGAACTAAACTGTTTTAGTATGAAATTGTTTGTTGAGGATCCATTTTTTTAGTAAATCTGTTTGCTGTACCACATGGTTAAAAAAAAGCAAAAGAGAAAGAATTTATGACAAATGATAAAATTAGTGTTAATGGTTTATGCTGACTGTCTTACAGTGTATACACTTTTTCACCTTATTCTTCACTTCCACACTACATGTTTCAGCACTAATGTGCCATCTTCAGGTGTCTTTATGCACATTAAACTATTGTACTGCATGCCATAATGTCTTCATTCTAAAATGACTAAAATCTGTATTCGTCATATAGGACGATGAATTATAAATAATAAAACTTTTCAGGATTCTTCCTACGTCGCACTCAAACACGCGAATTACGCCGATCCTCTTTTATGTGTGCATTCTTCCTATGTATATTTGTGTAACATGTTCTGTGTTGTGTTTTGCTCCTGTTACTGCATGCGTTTTACTGCTCGATCTGTGTGTGTAAGACTGTAAGATGGTCAGCATAAACCATAAACATGAATCAGTGTAACAGGACGCTAAAATGTAACATGATAAAATTAGTGTTAAACATAAGCTGCTATATTACTAGCATGCACATTGTACTGGCATTGCAGTTGGATTTTCAGTGTCCACATTAAGCAATACTGAATAAACATGAAATTAAAACTATTATGTCCATTGTGGACCTATGTCCTACTAGTGGAAAATCTGTAAATCTTCGCTGATGCATGAATATTCTGAATGTCTTGCCATTATTATGTTCAAATATGCATATTGTCAAGTGCTAGTGACTAGACATGGAACTTGGCTTGATGATTGGATTTGTCTGATTCTTATGACTTCTAACTACAGGTGAGCCAGCTGCCATTCTGTGAGAACATTAGCAGAGGAGCAACCATTGTTGAGAGCTGTTACCAGGCAAGGACTGGTGAAGACACAGAAGATGTTATGTGTCTTGCAGTACAGTGATTTGTATAGTGTGCAGATCAGTGAAACTGTTATAGTTACTTGTTACGAGTTACAAGAGTCAATTAAATCCTATTATCAATTCAAACCCCATGTCTAGTCACTAACACGTGACAATATGCATGTTTGAAGATAATAATGGCAAGCCATTTAAAAAATTCATAAATTTCTCAAATGTTCTGAAGGCATTGGCTTTGATCTGAAATAGTCATGTAATTATATATCAAAGATTACAATGATATATTTTGCTTGATTTATTAAGCAAGTTGCCCTGCATGCACTTGTTGTATAGCCTTGGATTGAACCATAATATACAAAGTAAGTTTTGGTATAACTCACGAGGAAGGAAAGATATGGCAGGACCCTATTAAGGATGACTGGAAACAAAATCATACAGCAAAACCTGTAAATATACAACATAAGGAAGAAGAATATGTAGGGAAAATAAGTGAAGAAAGAAACAAAACATTGTTAAATAATTCTCATATTTTGTTTTTCCTTTTATATAACAATGCATCAGCAATTCATAATTTACAATTTCAATAAATTAAACTCAATTCTGTAAATTTTGCATTGCACAGTTTTTAATCTATTGAACATTAAACAAGACATCCTTAAAATTTCTTTTTGTTCTGAAATGAAGTGACTGCCTTGAGTAGCTGGTATTGTCTGAAAGTATATTACTTTACTTTGAAGACCCAATACTTAATTTCATCAAGAAATGTTAATTTCGCACATATTATTAGTCCAGATTTTGAGACTGTATGTAAAGAGATGTATAGACAGACCAACTAAAATTAAATTCTTGCACTAAAGAATTGCAAGGGTTGCTTATGAGGAAGTCCACAAGTATCTGTGAAGCCAGATTACAATCCCTTCATGTGTACAGACAGAAAATGATAATTTAAACTTCTATTGTTGCTTTAAAAAATGAACACAAATATAATTTGAAAACTTCTGAATTTTAAACTGTTCACACACCTCTCATTAATTTTTACTATGCTTGAAGAACAAGTTCAGGTATTTGTGTACCATTGTACTGCGAACTTATGGCCGACTTCTGACTTCTGTGGTTATCAGTCCTGGCTAGCAGCTTTGTTATCAATCATCACAACATCATATCGGCATTAAATAAGCAAATGATCAGTTGTGGCTGGAAGACAGGTATTACAGTTCGAACTATGCTCATAGTGGTCTGATACTTCTGCATATTTTTCTGCTGTAATTTCACTACTTTACTTTCAAAGCCGTTCTATCTCAATACGCTCAACATTATCATTGAAAGTTACAATTGATTTTTTCCTTGTCACGCCATTATTATCATTTTCTTCTTTTTCATTTTCATCGCATGAACTCTGGAAATCATCAGTTGTTCCATGGTCAAAATCTCGAAGCACAGCACCGTTACTGATTTCTTCATATGGATTTGTGATTGTTATGCGTGGCAAGGAGGGTGATGGTGGAAACGATTCGGTCACTTCCCTAGAAATAACATAAATTAAAAATGTTATCCATATTGCTCTGATTATAAACATTTATTAGTATATGAGAATGACTGGATGATTCTATGGTGAGATGCTACAACAACTAATTATTCTAAAGGACCACAGCTCGTTTTAAATTCAATTGGTCTATATAGACTTTAGTATGTTATACTCGTACACTTCCTTTCAATTCATTGTGAATGAACATTAGATGTGACATCATTTTAGCAGCTGATAAAGAATCATATATTAAAGTATTAAGGTATCCCAAAAAGGTGTCAAGTTAAGAATGGGCAATTTCACAGATTCTGGATCCATAAGTCTTACATCTACAAAAACAAATACATGGTGTGCCTAGGATCCATTAGGACTTATATTTTTAAATTTTGCCCTGCAATGCCAACTGTTGGCGAGTTGTGGCGTTAGGATTCTTGAAGTTTCAGCTGTGGCTGTCTATAATTTCAAAGCACAAGCATCGCTGCATCATGTGTTCTGACCTTGAATGTAACAGTACTGTTCTGACGCTCGTCGGAAAATGGTGGTTGAACAGAGAGCCAACATCAAATTTTGTTTGAAATTAGGCAAACAGCCAGAGTAGCATACAAAATGATGAAAAGTGTGTACGGTAGTGATTATTTACGTCACTTGAACATTTTTCGATGGTATGCTGTATGCAGGGAGGACACTGAAGACGCTCCACGTGCATCAAAGCTGAGAACAAGTCGAACTGAAGAAAATGTGAAAAAAGTGACCGAAATCCTTGCATCAGACAGATGTGTTTCTGCATAACTCATCGAGGAGACTTTGGGAATACCAAAAAGTACTGTGCATCAAATTTTGACCAAGGATTTGGGCAAACAGAAGGTTTGTGTGCGGTTTGTACTGCACGCGCTGTCAGGTGATGAAAAATGTGCCAGAGTGGAACACTGCAAAGACATATTACAGTCGGCCCAAAGTGATACAAAATTTACAAAATCAATTGTTACTGGTGACAAGACATGGTGTTTTCAATATTAGCCTCTCACAAAGAGGCAGAGTGCAGTGTGGTTGAACCCAAAGAAAGTGCGCATGCAAAAGAGATGAGTAAAGACACCGCTAAACATTTTCTTCAATTTCAAAGGAATCATTCACAAGAAATTTCTGCCAGAAGGTTAAACAGTGAATTCTGATTATTATCTCAGAGTCCTCAATCATTTGTTCGGTGAGAATTCTTCGAATTCAACCTGAATATCGAGAGCAAGGTTCCTGGTCACTCCTCCACGACAATGCCCCACCCCACAAATTGAAGATCATGCGCGATTTTTTGGTCAGAAAAGGGATCACAGTCCTTGATCATCCTCATATTCGAAAGATTTGGCTCCAGCAGATTTCTGGTTGTTCCCAAAAGTTAAGTTGGTGATGATAGGAGAACATCACGACACCATCCAGGACATCCAAAGGGAATGTACTGCAGTTTAAATGTGATTCCACAAAAGGAGTACAGTGACTGTTTTCAAAAACTTTTCAATCGATTCCAGCTATGTATTGATTCAGAAGGAGACTATTTTGAATAAAAAGAGTGAAATTTTGAAAATAATTCACATCGTGTATTTTTAATGAACACAGTCCTAACAGAACCTGGACACATTGTGCACCTTCCTAAAATGTTCCTCACTAAAGTATCTTTGATTTTATATGCATAGATAATAAGAACATTCTACATCTACTGGCTGCTTGTGGAATAACCTCATCTAGCTAGTTGGCTTCATGTGCATGGCATGTCTTCAGTCTGCTATGCTTTTAAACTTCTGAATCATTTGTTGGAACTTGATGAAACATTATTTGGAAAACCCTTGTAACTGAGACAATGTATATGTACATTATATTTAAATTCCAATCTGAATTATGCATTCTATATATTTATTCTTAGTTCATTGGATTTGAGGCTATTAAAGAAGCGACTATGAAGAGTTTTATCTTCTGGGATACAAAGCTGTGTAGTCCAGTGAAATTTGACAGATGTTTTGAAGCAGCAGCCTCCAGAGCAGAGGTTACTGCCTGCTTGGTTTGCTTTTTAACCCTGAAGATGGCAAGGATATGTTCTTCTGAAGCACTGGCTGATTTTCAATGAACTACATGGTGTCATATCCCAAGAGCTAGAACTCTTTATATAAAGGTAGAGCTGTCTCTGTGCTTAACTAATTAAGCACTACACCATGAAGGTGTATGAAGGAGTGGATGTATAGATCCATATTTTCTTGACCTCGGCACTAGTTGGAGGTGAGTGGTCAGCTTGACGCCACAGCCTCTTTACCCCTGGGGAAAGAGACCCCGGTACCTACTGGACAGGAGGGTGGGTGGAGCCCCCGAGCTGGCCTGGATGACATGAAGAAGTGAAAATTCTTGACCCCACCGGGACTTGAACTCCGACCTCTCGGTCATCCAGCCTGTGGCCAGTCACTATACCGACTGCGCTATCCTAGCTCTCAGAAATCTTTATATTCTTGGATTATTTACAGATGCTGTTAACAGCTTAGTGTATACGTATAGTGTCAAGAGGTATGACAATAAAGGATGAATAGGAAAGATGTTGGAAGGTTGCAGTGATGGAATGACTAAGGAAAATTTTAATAGCTAATCCCCAAGCTGATGTTTGAATCTGGGACCTTCAATAATGATGTGTATATATATATATAAATTTTGTCACTTACGTGGTGCTAGCAAACTGAACATTTGGAAGAGGATTACTCTTATCTTCTGAAGTAGATGTAGTTCCAATTTCCTCCCTGAAAATAATACCATAAGTGTAGCATAATCTAGCAAAACTAATCCAAAGTCATTCATTTTATCTGAAACCAGAGGTCACCAAACTATAGCTTACGGACTTGGTATGTGCCATAGGAATCTTTTTCATCATACCCAGGTGTTGTCTTTTGTAAAAATTCATAATAATGTATGACATTTTTATTTTAATACTCATGTACTTTTATGCACTTCAACCTTTTGAAAGTGCAAGAGCCTGTGACAGTATAACTTTCCCGATATTTTTCATAAATCCATATATTTTACACTGTGAATTGACTGTTCCACACGAAAGAGTTTCTGTAACTCCATTCAGAATCATGTCATACGTCTTACTCCCTAAGATCTAAAAGTCTGTGACAATGGTACATTAATAGATTTGTTGATTTTTGGAATATTATTCATCATCCTGTTTTTTATTTAAAGCAATGTATCCGAGATTGTATTCCATCTCTGTCCTCAGTTAAAAAACCTACGTAAGTAATTTTCTAGACAATAGGTATTCATCAACAGAGTAGAATGAATGTGTATTTAAGTATCGTTTCAGTGCTATTTTAAATCATGCCTTTTCATTCATAAGACCTTTGAGATCAGATGGCAGTTTATTAAAAATGTTGATCCCAGCATAATATGCTCTTTTCTGAAAGCATGAGAGGTTAGCAATTGGTTTATGAATACAGTGTTTGTGTCTTGTGTTAACACTGTACATCCTCATTCATCTGAAAATGTTCTTCATTATTTGTAATGAAGTTTACAAGACAAAGTTAAAATCTGTAGTCTCTTAAATAGATCTCTACAGGAATTACAGGATTTGATGCCCATCATGATTCTAACAATTTTCTTTTTCAATGCGAATACCTTTATACTGTCAGATGAATTACCCCATGCTTCATTAAAGAGTGAAAATAAGCAAGATTATACTAACTTCATCGTAACATGTATTGCAATGTACATAGTCACACAAATATTTAATTAAATGATTTTCAGTTGTATAAACATAGTGGTTTGGAAATATAAATTAAAATTTACTGAATACTGATAGCTTAATTTTTCACAATATATACAAGAGGGGTCCATTAAAGGATTGTAATACGCATTATATCTGTGAAATGTGTATTTAGACAACACCGCGCTTATGGCTTCCAAAGAATTTGAGTGGCCATTACCTTAATATTAAAGAAGAGAAGGATTTGTGAGATATGCCACTAAAAGGGCTTAATATGACATAGTTTTCACGCTAAGTTTCATGATGATCAGTTCAGGCATTGCATGTCAGCACACACGTGTCTATCATTCTCCCCCCTAACAACTTTTGAACACCTGAACCAATCTTTACAAAACTTATTATATCTATCATGCTCCCTGAGGCCATCTGAATGGTGGTGTCCTTCATAAATCCTTTCCAATAATACAAGCACTGCAGCCTCTCAAACTGCTGAGGCAATAAGTCCAATAGTACTTGAATTCATGAACTGATGGTCATAAAATATTGTGTGCGTAACATGCCATTTGAGATCATCTCAACAGCTTACTTCATAAACCCTCCCATCAGTAATACCAACACTGTGTCCACACACACACACACACACACACACACACACACACATGCATGTGCACACACAGAGCAAGCTCATTGATCTCATAAGTCTATCTTCATTCGTTGTTTTTTTAAATAAGGAAAGTAGGCTAAAAATAGGGACACAAATTGTATCAGACAGAGATAATCTCCAAAATATTCGACTTCTGCTTTCAATTGACACAGACAAATTGTCTAAGACAATTTTATCACTTTTAGTTAGTTTGAAATCTTCAAGTTTTACACAATTAGAACCTTCAACTTTATATACATCTATTTATATGCTTACAATGGTGGTGTTGAATACCCATCACTTTTGGTGAGCACGTCAACATAAGCATCTGAACTTCTTTTATTCCTTTTTGATCTGAAATAAAGAGAAGTGGGAAAATAGTTGTTACTGAGAAACTTACTATTAGCAGTTATGTAAAAAAAAGTTGTAACTGTTATTCGGAGGGTAATGTCTCTTATTGTTGTCTCTCTGCAGTACACTTCTGCATTACAGAAAGAGTTAAAAGTAGGAAAACATCTCTTACTGACTAACACACTTTTGCCATTTATGTAAATAAGCTATGACTGTCATCTGGGGGTAATGCCTCTTACTCTTGGCTTTCTGCTGCCATACCTTGTGAGAAAGAGCTAAGGCAGTGAAGCGCTGAAATCTTTGGTTGACTTACAGGATAAACTGCAGTGCAAGAAGAAATAGCATCAATACTTTTGTCTGATCAAAGTAAAAGTCATTAATTAAATACTTTGATGCTGAAGACTGTGTCTGAATAAAGTGTATAGTGGTGTTACTGTGACTGTCAGTACTGTCTGAAGCTGAACCTGAATGAAAAGTGTTAGACAGGAGAAGTGGTCCACTAATCAGATGTCTCAGATGGTAATTAGGGGCATTGCAGTTTTAGGATTGATGATATGAGCCTGTGTTCTACAAATTGGAGTTACATGGAAGAGAAACATTCGGTAAATATTGAAATTATTTGTCTAAATCTTGAAGCTGGCATTTCATAAAAGCAGATTACATTCTCTTGTTTAGAGGAAAAAATGGTCAACAGAGACAGTAATTATGAAGGGTTCTATTTTGTGGGATACAATTCTGTACAGTCTATTCAAAGACAACCAGCATTTCGAAGGAACACATTAGGCTACGTCTTCAGGATCAAGAGTCTGCTCGCTACCTGCTTCATGCTGGTTTCTTGCACAATTTATTCTCTGACCCTGAAGAACGAGGTGCCAATTCACTTTCAATGGACTACAAATGTTATATCCCAGAAGAAAGAAGTCTTCATAACCACCTTCTTCTTACAAGAACCTCAAATCCTACATAGTACCTATGTACAGAGATGGCAGTACTGTCAGTAATGGTGTGACTAATGTCTGTGTATTGTCTATACACGTGTACTGAAAAAAAAGAAGAATAAACCTTTGGTGATGAAGCACATATATATTTTTGTGTAAATTAAAATTGAATAAACAGAGTATGCACATGCATTAAGTTTTTCAAGCTTTGTTTCAATGAATAGCCAAGTATTTACATTTTAGGATATTCTTCAAGTTCTGTTACTTTTGGTTATTCAATGAAATTATTTGACATTGTGTATTCTTTGAATTTTCCAGTTACGAAACATTAAAATAAATGTACATTGTGGTCTTCTGGGTTAAGATGCTTGATAGTCCATAAGTGGTTGCCAACATTTTGGAGGGACATGCTGCTTTCATCTTCTACGAGGTAGACGAAGCAGATTTGTAGAAGAAAAACAGACAACTTCCCATGAGATTCCCTGAAATGGTGGAAGCAGGGTCCTCTGAAATGTTGCTAACCACAATCAAGAGTACATGGTATCATAATAAAAATTTCCATATCTAAACTTTCAACATCATGAAAATCTCATATAAATAAAAATAAACTGGCTGTTCATATATTAGTAGCACATAAGAAACACTAGAATTTAGTACTGCAAAGTCTTAAACATATTTGGCTGAATTTCAATAGTTTATAATATCTTTAAAAAGGTAATGAGTTTCCTCTTGTCAGAGGCCAGGAATATGACCAGAAACTTTATGCATAGGGGGGAACAAAGTTGCTTGCATCCTTGTCATTCTTTAAGTCATACAGGTCCTCTGGGTAGTGCAAAATGAGCAACAGATCTGGCAAAGCTTCACAAAAGAAAAGTGCAAACTTCTTCAAGATGCAACAAAGCAAGAACTTGAGTGCTCTCTATTGGGAAGCAAGAAGCAAAATGGGTTAAATGATCCCAAATGCAGCCATTGGAAACCAAGCAACGAACTTTATGCGCAGGGTTAAGTTACAGAAACTTCTCTCAGTTGGTTTGCATTAGTAAGTTAGATTTGTGGCAGAAGTACAGACCTGACATAGACCAAGTAGAAAACACTGAAACCACCGATCACCAGTACCAGGATTACTGACAGAACAATTACAGCAACCAGCAGGCTAGCATCACTACTTCCATCGCTGCTGTTACTAGCATTAGTCCAGGATTCTGCTCTAAATTCAGCTTCTCCTTCCAGGTGTCTGTTGAGCAAACATTTTATAATGAGTGTCATTATGTCTGTCTTGCATGTTATTAGTGAAATATGCATGGTTTATAATCTAAATTAAGGCTCAGAAAACCCAGGACATCAGATCACCATGACACCCAATATATTTTACAATATTTATTTTTGATTCATATCTGTTTTTACCTTTTTAGAAATCCCAACTCAACAACAATTATGCCCCAGAAATCCCTATGTAGCAGTCATTTGTGACTGTATGTATTACGGTGAATGCTTGGTAGACATTCTATTAGCAATGCCATTAAATGGTGTGAAATTTGATTTTGTGCTGATTAGAGGGTGCAGACCAGTTACATCTGTGTTACAGAATAAATGTTCAGAGAGTGGCATCAATGAGCAGTGTGTACAGTGCTGTCATTCATATACGTCTTTAATGCCTATAAGGATATTTAAAATACTAGTACTGAGTTGCATTTTTTATCTAAAATATTTTGTCCCTATCAGGTGGTTCTGAAGCTGGATTGGCTCAGTCAGTATAGCGACGAGGCTAGCGGCCTCCGTAGTCTAGGGGTAACGTTCCCACCTCATGACTCAAGGTATGCAGGTTCAAAACCGGCGGAGGTCGTGGAATTTTTAAGGGCGGAAAAATTCAGGGAACAAGTCCTCCGGGAGGGACTTTAAGCCGTGGGTCCCATGTCGTAGATTTACGGCATGTAAAAGAACCTCATGTCTCTAGGAGGCCTCTGAGCTAAATTAGGCCAAAAAGTTTCCCGCCCAAATAGTTTCCAATGACTCCGATAGATGGGGAAGTATTAGGTACCACTGCCAGAGGAGGGATGACCTCGCTGACAGAAAGGGACTAATTATTAGATACCACTGCCAAATAGAGGGTAGAAACCTTGCTGGCAGAAAGGGGCTGATAGCGAGCACCAGTATCGGTAGGGGATGGAGACAATAGAAATTAAAAGGGGGGCGTACAATAGACTATCAGTTGCGGTGCATGGGGAAACCCACCCCCTCAATACTGAATCACTGAATAGCGAGGAGGCTATGGGCTGAACAACCAAAGCATATGGGTTAAATTTTCAGTAGGAGAAAGATGTGTTTCTCTTCTCCATAACTTCTAGGCTGGCTCTGGGGCCCACCCAAGCCTCCTACACAGTGGGTAATAGAGGTTGTTTCCCTGGGGGTAGAGCAGCAGGGACATTAAACTAACCACTCACTTCCATCTACACATAGTTCTGAGCTTACGACTAGTGCTATACATCCATTATCCACTTGTTTTCATGGCATGAAACTTCATTAATCAAGCCCAAGGGTAACTTTTATCTTTTTACCTTGTGGTTTTAATATTTATTAGCAGATTTAAAAGGAGAAGGGTGGAATGACTGGGGCATGTGATTAGAATGGATAAAACAAGAGTGACTGGAAGAATTTCTGAATGTAAGCCAGAAGGTAGAAAAATTGGAAGGCCCACACTGAGATGGCTGGAAGGTATAGAGAATGATTAACACAAGCAAAAAAAGTGAAAAGATGGAAGCAGAAGGCACATAACAGGGACGTATGGACATCTGCTATAAGAAAGGCCAAGGTCCTTAGAGTCACATTTGAGTTTCTCACTGCAATGACTATGAACACTCCTTTGAAATGTCATCAAACTTTGTCACATGAAAATGTGTATTTCATAATGTAGTACACAAAAGTAGGAATAATTAAATGGAAATGCTCTTATTTCACATTTCAGAAGAATTAAAAATAAACATACACGTATTAACATTTTAAAAATTAAAAATAGAACAATGCAAGGGGAAGATCACTATAACAGGCTGTTCTTTGATGCTTTTGGAAGGTAAGCTTTGGTGGTCAGAATTTCTGGTTGGCTGATTATGCTGCAGGTGCTTCTCTGTCATTTCCTTTTTAAACGTTTATTTTTGATACCCATTTTTAACAATCTGTTACTGATTGAGATAGGACAGGTTGTAGAAAGTATGTTGAGTCTACAAAGTATTTTCCCTGTAGTAGTGTGGTACATGACTAGGAGGAATGTATCTCAAACAGCAGCAGATGGTTAGAAAGGGCTACCTCAAGTATACCTCTTCAAAGAAAATAATTCAGAAGCATGTGGAATGTAATCAACAAACAAAAAGATCTGATCACCAAAGTCTAATTTAAAAGCATCCAAGAATAATGTTTCAATTGCACTGTTTTACTTTTAATTTCTAAAATTTTAATAGGTATACAGATTTAAATCAGATCTGACCCAAATAAAATTAATAAATTTATACTATCATTGCAGTTTATATGTAGTCCATCATCTGTGTGCTCCTCAAGAATCACCTAATGATGGTCTGTCTGGGCTGAAATATGTTGTCAGTCAAAAAATAAAAACGTTTGTTCATTTGATGATAAACCCTATATTTTTACTCGTAGGCACCACAAACAGGATGCAACACTACAAGATAGATCAAAATGGTTGAAAATCAGAATTTTTGAGAAAACATTTCATGAAAGCCTATCACATTGTATTTTAAGAAAATCTGTCAACACTTCAGACGCTGACAACGGGTCACAGACAGTTTGAAAGACATGACCTCCATGTAAGATATTCTTTTTAATCTGTAAAGAATGCCTACAAGTGGATAAAAACATGCATGACAACTTCAAAACATATTTTAATATCACTTGTTATATAGCAGAGAGAAAAAAATATTTTCAGACTTTTAAGGGTTGTTAGATTTGATTGGAAAATTGAGCGTTTATCTAAGAGAACTAAAAAAGAATATAAGGACTTTGAACCACATACCAAAAAAGTATGGACTGATCTCACTTGCAAACTATAGGATGGGAAATACGTGACTTAAAGATTATATGGATCTACTGATAAGGATGTTGTAGAGTTGATTTTGTATGCTGGGTATGTAAAAAACAATGGCATGAGATATGTGCTTTGTCAGTCTGACAGCATAGTGCAACTGCAGACGACTTTTTGGATACAACTGAAAAGGAACTGGAAAAACATTAGTGAAAGTGAAAGTGAGTGAGTGATTTTTCTCAAATTAGCATTGGTTGATTGATTGATTCATTCATTCATTTATTTATAGTTCCAAAAAATCCATAGAGGCATCTGCCTCAGATATAGAACAAGTCAATAAAACAATGGATTCCTAGTTTTGGGACAATTGCTGTCACAGTGTCTGTGCTTGCCTATCGTCACTATTTGTTGTGAATTTTGTTAAAAATTCCAAGTATCCTACTGATGTGTAATATAAATGGACCACCAGTGATGGAATTTGATTCTGCGAGGCAGCACTTTGGTTGCAGAAGAACGAGACATTTGTACAGCAGTAAGAAGTCAAAATAAAAATAAGTTGATATAAGTGTATAACTGATTTGTTGTTTCACATCACAATATTAATTAGTAACAAAATGTGCGTGAACTTCTTGTAATTCCTTATAGCTACATTTAAAAAGATAATTCTTTCCACCCACTGGTGCATGCTGAATTCCTTTTTGTAACTATTTAAATATTTAAACCTGATGAAAAAATGTTTGGCTCTTCTTATAAATATAAATAACACCCATGATAGGAACAGTAAGATTTAGTAAGGAGTGTCACTGTGTACTCTGTGGCTTATGAATGGACGTAGAAATAATTTATGCTACTCACGCTTTAATATCTGAATAATCGAGAGGTTCTTCTCGGCTGTTCAAACCATAGATAACCAACCGGAGAAGGGAATTGCTTGGATTCCTTGTGGATTTACCTAGTTGTCTGTGAATGTTGCCAACATCATCATCACCATCCTCATCATAATCAATATCATCTCTAGCAATAACTGCAGCAGACAGTAACTTAATATTGTATTTAGTGATGGAAGAAATTTTCTGTAGGACTGTATCTGTATCTTCCAATACAGAGCCTCTTTTCTTGACCACTAGTAAATTGTCATGGCTTAGGATTTTCACCTGAAAAATGATGATATTAATACTACTAACACTGCAAAATTAACAAATGGTAACATCTACATATGAAGTACTAGGAAAATTTAAAGGCTTATGCAATGAAACACTGAGAAGAAAAATTAAGTTCAGAGTGTCTTTAAAATATTTTGTTGAAATCAATTATGCAATATCTTGAACAGATATAGAAAAAACAGATCATAATCGCTCTTCATTTAAAATGTAACTTCATTCTTGAGTTTGAGTAATCTCACCTCCCATTTCCTGACTCCTGAAACTTTAAACATTAATAAACTTCTAGGACAATAAACACTTCTTAAATCTGGTTTCTTATTACATGTCCTTGCATTATGCATGAAACAGGCTGGTGGCCATATTTGAAGGTCTCTGTGGCCATGTGTGAACATGGTGGGCACACTAAGAATTCTGTGGCTCCACAGAAGAATTTGAAACCATGAAAAAGACAGTTTATTAATTCTGTAAAAACTAATTCTAGATTCCATCATACAGAAAATCTTAATTTGAGAAGACTGTACCAAAGCATGCCTTCACCTGACATGTGAAGTATACACTATGTTTATAAGCAGTAGTTGCAAACAAGAACCTTGTATCCCACATGAATATTACCATGTGAAACATGGATACACTGTAGGGCAGATTTCCACATTCAGAGAAACATTATAGTGGAGAGTGAAAAGGAATCTGTGCTCCCAGTCATCTACAAGTAATGGTACAGAAATGCATAGAAAATATCATTAAATATACAGATTAAATGTTAGAAGGTCCTTACCCTAAAACCTAGAAATACACAGCAGCTAATGTTGGCAACAAATGAGGGCTGCCATAAACTTGTGAGCTGATGAAACAGCAAAGCACAACACCATCAGGTAAGAGAAGAAAGCGCAAGAATAGAAGTGCCAAATGAAAGAAAACATTTCCAGCAGACAAAAAGGGAAGGCAGAAAAACAGAACAAACATTTTTCCAGATGAAAGAAACACAACTGAATCATTGCCTTGACGTAAGATTGATTCATTATACATACTACTACAACCTAGAATGAAAATATCCATCTCCATTGCTCACAGAAAGAAACTTCTATGTTTTATAAGTGGATAGAGTGGCATGAGAAGCACAAGAGCGAGCATCATTTAATTGCTTCTGTGACATTTTTAGCAAAGAATATAATATCATTTTGAACACCCTAAGCTTGACGCTTGTTACAGATGTGATTTCACAAGTGCAGTTAGAAGAATTTTGACAAAGGGAAGGATCCATGATGAATGTGTTTTGATTTAAAACAACACATCAACATAAATATTTCATCTCATTGACTTAAATTTAGAGATACAAATTGTACTGGAGATGGATACATGATGATGCAGCCAGAGATCGTTGGTGGACAAAGGCTGAAGATATATTGTCTGCACTAAAGGCTCACTCACTCACTCACTCACTCACTCACTCATGGAGCTGAGCCCTTCTTGAGAAGCCACCAGTTGTGCAGCTACTCAAGAATCTCCCAGCATTTTGTAGAACCTGAAGGTTCATTACCGTGCTCACAAGAGCACTCCACTGGTCCTTATCCTGAGCCAGATCAATCCAATCCATACCATCCCAACCTATCCCTCTAAGATCAATTTTAACATTGTCCACCCACCTATGCCTTGGTTGTCCCACTGGTCTCTTTCCATCTGGCTTTCCTACCACTATCATATATGCAGTCCTCTTTTCCCTCATTCATGTTACATGTTCTGCCCACCTCATCCTCCTTGACTTAATCGTTCCAATTATACTTGGAAAAGAGTACAAGTTATGAAGCTCCTCATTATGCAGTCACTTTATCTCTCTTCAGTGCACTAAAGGCTTAGATTGAGAAAATTCCACCTGTGATAGGAAACTTATGACATGGTTTGATTCAGGTGGTGGACAAAACCAGAACAAATCATTTGCTAGCGGTATTATTTGACGTGCAGTGGAGAGTATTTTGAAGAAGTGGAACATAAGTTTGCAGTACTAGGTCATTCATTCTTGAATTCAGAAATGTTTTTCAGTTTGGGGGGGGGGGCACGGATTTTTTATCTTTAAGAACAAAACTTCTGACAAGGCATCGCTTCAATTTCAGCAGGCATTAAAATTTCAGATATAAGAAAATTAGCATGGTGAATACACTGCCAATTATTTACACTACAAAGAAAGTTATTGGGATTTTATTCCAGCTGCCATGAAAGGTTGATGACATATATCAGTATAATTACAAAAACTGTATAATGCTCCATGAACAACTTTGAGAGAAAAATACAGGTACTTTTTGAAATTAGTTCCATATATTCCTGTTCAGTACAGGTCACTTTACAAGAATTTGGTTGAAAGACAAAATCTCCAGTGAAATTATGGAAAAGCACAAAAGGGAAGTACATAAAGCTTAACAGAAACAGATCCTGAAATGGCTAGCTGAAAGGGGTTAAAATTATATTTCCAGTATTACCAGTTCAATACTAATCTAATACCCTGATATACCAGACAGCTGTCAGTGCTGCGGTGTTGGCTACAGAGTTCTGTACATGGAAAAGACAAAAGGACAGAAAACAGTTACATGTTCATTTTAATGTATTATAAGAACAGAGGCGTTAGTTTATAAACACATATTTACACATACAACTTTTGTGTAAGTAAAGAATGCCGTCTTCTGGGATGTGGCGCCATGTAGATACTGTGTAAAGTGACGTTCCAGGGAACGTATCGCCTCCATCTTCAGGGTATAAAAATCCGCGAGCGAGATACCAGCATGAGCAGGTGGCTCAGACTGAGTCGCCAGTCAAAAACACCCAGCTATATAAGAACAGGAAGGGAGGGAGATGGGGCCACATGGGAAATTAATAGAGGAGAGGGTAAGGGCCTGTGGAGATGGACTAGCATGTAGCAGGCCAGAGCTCCTCCAGCAACCCTCCTTCTTCTCCCCCCCCAGCACAATCCTATACCTGCTTTGGCTTGCTATCTACTGGCCCATCTCCGCAAACCCTTACCTTCTCCTCTCTATTGATTTCCCATGTGGCCGCCTCACCCTCCCTTCCTGTTCTTATATAGTTGGGTGTTTTGGGTGTTTTCAACTGGCAACTCAGTCTGCAGCCACCTGCTCATGGTCACTACTTGCTCATAGATTTTTATACCCTAAAGATGGAGGTGATACATTCCTTGAAAATGCCTGTTTACACAATATCTACACAGCACCATGTTCCAGAAGATGGCATTCTTCATAGTCACTGCCATGAAAACCTCAAATCTTACATTTGTAAAAGTATTTCTAATTATCTGAATGTATGTACACCTCCATAATAAATACATTTTCTTCTAATAAACACTTCTGTGTTTTTCTCTCAAAAACTGTATTGGTTGTAAGCTTCATGCTTGCAGCCACAGAACTGTTACCCAAAATACTGTTACTTTTCCTGGTGTTTTAGTACTTACATTTACTTCAAGGGGCTCTCCTTCACCTTCTGCATCACTTGCATGAACACTGAAATGTGTGTCCTTATAATTGAAGGCTCCTGCTACTGGATAAATCACTCCTGTTTCCTCATGTATGGTGAACTGATCATTCGGTGTTAGACTGTATTTTATTACAGCATTCCCTCCAAAGTCAATGTCTGTAGCCTGAACATAAAACAGTAACACAACACAAGATGAAAAACTATTTCAAATTGCATAGAAAAAACTCTTACTCTAAACCAGAGGAAATGCTCAATATTACAGAGTCCCGTATACCATGTACACAACAATTTCCTACCTCTGTTCAGCAGTCTTGATTCAACTCTTCAACAATAGTTGACATTCTTAGAACCTAAGAGAAACTTACGGCTAAATGAAGTTAAATTGCATTCCTCATTGAACAAGCTAATTTTTAAGCACTATGGAGTATATATTTTCTAACCAAAAGAAGTATTTGCTAGATATAATTCCACTTGTTCAGATCAAGCAAGCTGGCTAATGAAGTTCAATTGCATTCCTTAATGAACAAGCTAATTTTTAAGCACCTTAGATTGTATGTTTCCTAACCAAAGATGTGTTTGGTAGATATAATTCCATTTGTTCAGATTAAACTGGCTCAGGTGGTAGTTTTATTGACTTGTATTTGGAAGGTGTCTGGTTCGAATCTAAGCTGAGACACCAAATACAGTAAAGTTGTTCCTATGCTTAACTAATTAAGCACTGTACCACATTTTCTTGACCTCGGCATGAGCTGGAGGTGAGTGGTCAGCTTCACACCCTTGCTGCTTTACCCCCAGGGAAAGACACCAGGTACCCATTGGAAAGAAAATTGGGTGGCCCCCAGAGCTGGTCTGGACAACGTGAAGGAGAGAAAATTCTTGACCCTACAGTGACTCAAACTTAGACCCCTTGGTCGTCCAGCCCATAGCCCATCACTATACCAACTATGCTACCCCAGCTCCTGGAGACACCATCTATGCTGACAAATATTCTACAGTTTTCTTCAGTCCCTCTAGGCAAATGCTAGCACAGTACCATGAAGCACACTATGATTGCCTCCTTCCACATCCTTTCTAATTCATCGTTCATTAATCATCCTACGAGTAAATGCTATATAATCTCATCTATTCACAGCAACACTACATTAAAAAAAAACCTAATCCTCATATTCAGAGTCTCATGTTACACATGACAATATATGCGACTCAGTGAATTCGGATATCTGATTATCTCAGTTTTTCTGAACACTTTGGGGTTTGTTTATTTATAAATACAATATTTATTAATTTACACACATACAGGTAATGCTCCACCAGGACTAATTTATTTTAGATCTGAGGCATAGACTTTGATGCTTTCTATGGCTGATACAGTTTTATTCACTACATTCCTAACAAACATATAAACAACTGACAGCTTCTGTATTTCAGCATTCTGTTGCAATTGTTTAACTTAACGTCCATTGTATTTATCGTTTGTCAATATTGCAACACTTGTTTATTCACCACTTAATCTTAATCTTAGTTCAACATTTTACACTTTGACACAACATGTTTCGGCCTCAAATGGCCATCTTTAGGTGTCTGGATATGTTACAAATATTTTATTGAATTATGTTAAAACTGCTACAGTGTGTTAGTCCATGTTAAAAACACATGCTGTAGTTCTCTTTTCAAGGTAAAACAAGATTAAATCCATTAAAATTTGGGTTTAATAGAGATTTTAATGGATTTTATCTTGTTTTACCTTGAAAAGAGAACTACAGCATGTGTTTTTAACCAAGTATAATTAGAATGATCAAGTCAAGGAGGGTGCGATGGGCAGGGCATGTAGCACGAATGGTGGAGAAGAGGAATGCATATAGGATACTGGTGGGAAAGCCAGAAGGAAAGGGACCACTAAGAAGACCAAGACGTAGGTGATTAGATAATATTAAAAAGGATCTTAGAGAGATAGGATGGGATGGTATGGATTGGATTGATCTGGCGCTGGATAGGGACCCGTGGAGGGTTCCTGTGAACACAGTAATGAACCTTCAGGTTCCATATAATGCTGGGAACTTCTTGAGTAGCTGCAGATTTGGTTTCTCCTCAAGAAAGGTCCAGCTCCATGAGTGAGTGAGTAGACAGGGTTTCCTGTATAATCTTAAGCTGTAAGATAAGTAGAAATTTAGATCAGGTACTGCAGGTATACTCTTTGGAGTGATGGTGGAAACTACTCTCGCCAAATTCCCCTTAACATGAACCAGGGGTGAACATTTCAGACCATGGTCTAAACGTATTCCATTTCCATTTATTTTGGACATGTTTTCAGTGTAGCAGTTTATGCATTATTAATATTTTACTTCATTGGTGCTTAATTTTGAATGTCCTCCGGAATATAAAAAGTATGAATGTAGTAACCCTAGTTCCTAAAACTTGTTCTTCTGAAGAAAGCACAACTTAACTGGCATTACCTGCACTTGTGTTAGGTAAGGTGGCAGCATTTGTTTGGCAATCTCGGCATTGGGGTATCCAACTGTAAGTGGTGATGTTATGGTCTTAAACTGAGGACGGTTGTCATTTTCATCTCCAATTTTAAGTACAAGAACTGTCTTTAAGACATCATACTCGATGTTGCCAATTTCATCAAGTACAGACTGTGACCTGCAGATAAAAACCAAACTTTGGTTTCATTTCATATTGATATCACAACCATTTTACTCACTAACCCATATATAAAAATCATTATACATTCACATTTGTCAAGTCAAATCCACAAATTTATTATTTTAGAATAAATTGTGATGTCGTTGAGATTCAAACTGCAATGCATGTCTTCCCCCCTCATACCCACATAACCTTGAAAGAAATAAAATTAGTTGTTCATTTACAAAAATTAAAATAACTACATCTACAGAAAATATGATACATTAAAATAGTTTAACCTGATATAGTTCAACCAGTGGTGTGCTGTGCATGGAAGCAAGGGAAGCATTGCTTCTGTAGTTAAGAAACAAAAACAAAAGAAGTCATATATATAATTTAATCTGAATAATAAGGATGTCAATATTGTCATTTGGCGCATGTTCCTGCTCAAGGCCACATGCCTCCTCCTCCTCCCTTACCCTGCTTGGTGGGACAGACCAAGTTTCCTTTTGTTATTCTTCGTATGAATTCGTCTCACCCAAAGAGGCCAAGGGAAGCAAATTTCGGTTTGCTGGCTAGGCCAGTGAAGGAATGTGTTCTTTCAATGGTTATGTGAAAATTAACTGTGTATGTGTGATTTCAGTCTTGTTGGGTGTTATAGGTAACATTAAGTGTTATCAAAATATTGTAAGTGTATATTTATATGGCATAAGATTGTATTTGTGATCATATTTTGACACATCAGAAAGAAGCTATCTTCATTTAAGGGAAGCAAGTGTGATATTGTGGTACACAGGGCAGGTGCATGATTAGACTACACGCACAGGCGACAGATAAAATGAATGCTGGCAGACAACGTGGCTGCGACTGTGCAATTGAAAGCCTTTTAAAATGAGGGTTTAATAGCAGGGACTTTTCTGAAAATAAAATAATTATAGAAAAAGGATGACCGACATATGAGTTGCCAGACCTTAAAGCACAAACCAAATTATGTGTGAGATTTAATTTGGAATAGTATTCTAAAACAGACTGGCTATCAGGTTGCTGTAATATAGGAAAATTGTTTTGTTGGCCATGCCTATTGTTTCTCAATGAAAAAAAATGTATGGAACAAGACTGGGTTTGGTGATATCAACAACCTTCATAAAGCACTGAAATGACACGAGAACTCTCAGACTCACATTATTTCAACAATGCAACTTGTTATGTTCAGGAAATCTGGAACTGTTAACTTGACAATCAAAAGTGCCTGACGATACTACAGCATAATGAAAATGTGAAAGAAAAGAGAGAAATAATGGAACGCCTGATTGATATCATCTGCCATTTAGGAAAGAGGCAACTTGCCCTCCGTGGTCATGACGGAAGCGTGGATTCTATTGAGCAAGGTAATTATGTGGAATTAGTTCACTTGTTGAGGAAATATGATCATAAACTCAAATGTTCACCTTGAGAACAGTACACCATTTATGGGTTTATTGGACAGTAACTTTTATTACGTTATGTATTATCATATAAGAGTATAAAGAAATACTCATGACAGAAAGAACACTGTCCATAGTGTGGAATCAAGTAAACGGACATCTGAAACATTTGATTATTGTGTTTTTGCAAACCAAACACTGTAATGAGACAGTTCCTCTCCAACTGTGTTGATGCCCACTATCCCACTAGAAGTCCTAGCTGAACTTCCATGAACATACTCTTGTACTGAGGCATTCTGTTGTGTTCTTGGTTACTTGAAAAATCAAGAGTTTTACACAAGCTGAATGATTTTTCATACATAATCAAAAGTTACAAGAAGTGGAATAAATATTGTAATGTGTTAGTGATTTCACATGGAGTCTGAATTAGTAATTGGGTTACTGAATATTTATAACTGGTGACTAACAGTAATTATAGCTCCCTCATTAAACTACATAATTTAAAATTCACTAAAGCACCCACTAATAATTTTCAGTTTATCATCATTAGTGGTGCTTTGTAACGGATACAAACAGTGTCCTCTGCTGCTCATGTTATTACCAGCTGGCCTGTCTCGCACCTAACCCATTGCTTGAAACTCTATTGTTGCCTGTGTGTTCATTGTGTTGGAGCAACGGCCTTCTCTTCTCGCTCCACTATTCTGCTTTCAGCCCTCATGTCTTGATATCAAAAATTTGAATGTCTGATATTTACAATTTATGGATGCTCATGTGTGGGTTCCACATTAATGGTTACATTCTAACATTCTACATGACTAACTAAAGATGAGTATTACAGAGCAACATTTCAAGTATTGAGTAAATAGTTTGTGAATCAATACTGCAAGTGCAGCATGTCCCTTGAAATACTGCTATATACTTATGAATATATATTACGCTGTAATCTCTAAAAAATATTTTTTACCCCTCACTTTAATTCTGTAAGAATATTATTTATTATGCTGATGTTGTCCACACATACCTAGGGTGTCAAACTGCAGGCCTATAAATATACTAACAGAATTATGATAGTGATAAAAAGGCTTATATTTACCTTATATTCCAGAGTTCATGTGCCATGTTCATGCCACTTTCACAACTCAGTTTAAGTTGCAGAACAATATCAGTGTATGACTGGTCTGGGAACAGGTCTGCATCTTCACGGTCAATTTCTTTATGTAGAACAATCTCTCTACCAAAAGTGAAATAATCTGTATGATAAACAACAAATATATTTAATTGGGTATCGTTTCCACAGTGCTTGATGGCTTTGTTCTAGAAGCCTGTCTCATTATAATCTCACAACAGTTCACTAGGCTTCAAACCAACCTCATCATCTTGGAATTGTCTAAAATTATACCAGGCCTTTTAACCCTTCTTCATTCTTGTTTTTTTAATACTAATAATGGATGGCAAGTTATAACGTAAAGTGTCAATGAAATTAAATATTTCCTCCATTCAAACTTCCTCAAACAAGGTAACACGCCCACAACTTTATCGTCGATATAGTGGGAATACCAAATCTATGTGGGTGGTGACCATTAATTCAAGAAACAGACAGAATATTCTGTAATTGTGCATGTCATCTACCAACCATTGCTATTATTCATTGAACATACTGTTCAATATCTTTTGGAACAGGGTAATATTTTCAGAGAAAAGAGCATGAGGAACTTTATGCTCAACTTCTTCATTCACCTGCACAGATTTCATGCAACACTGGATTTTTAGGCACAATAGATCACAGTGGGTCATGGTGCAAGGGCCAAGAAGGCCCATCCCTTATACATTCATTCATCCAACATTGGATTTATATCTATCTACTTGGTGCCCTCAGCTCAATTTAAATGACCCAGTAACCAGCCATTCAATAGTTATTAAAAGGGACACAACTCCAAAGACAATTATGAACACAGATAGCATTTGTTAGTTTTTCATTCGTTAAGCAAATTCATTCTGTTCCAGTTTTAAAAACATGTAAAATCCATTCTCCCACCAATTAATGGGGCGTCAGAGCATTTGCTGACTTTGTATGGAACATCAAATAAAACAAATGAGAGGAAATGTATGTGGGAGACACTCAACAGTGAAAGTTCTTCAGGCCCTTACAGCAATTTAAATCCTACTTACATACATATATACTTATTCCTTGGCTTTACAGACCTTAAGAACGTTTGCCTCCTGTATGACAGATGCCTATTTTTTTCTATTATTTGACTTCTACCTCCATCTCTTCCACTTTCAACTCTCATAAAACATTCTCTACATCTTCCAGCTGTTTTAATTTGGCTCCTCTTACTTTTATTCTAAACTGACTTAATGCTCCTGTCATGAATAAACTTAGTGCATTACAAGCATAAAGATATATAATCATTACCTCGTAAAATTTCCTCGTCTATTTTCCTCAATTTTTTATTCAGAATCTATCATTAGGTTTCTCAACATATGTTGTTTGTTGAGATGAGGTTATTACACTCACACCTAACCTCCAGTCTTTTGAATGGCCCTTGTCCTTTGACCACTCTAGCATGGCTGACCATATCGAAAGCTAATGCCTCTACCAGTATAGCATTCCAGGTGATCAAGGCAAGCAAACCTCTTCACCAAGTTAACGTAATAGCCTTTGTGAAAAAAAATTTAAATTTTATTTTGTTAATTCATGAGCACAGAGTGTCAAATATTATACCATTTGCCTTTTCAGGTGTGATGTTTTCTAGAGTACACTCACACCCATCACCATAATCACAACTCTCCAAAGAGTATGGAGATTTTAATCCCTCTTGAATTTGTTTCGTTGTAATTGAGTATTTCCACTGAGAACCATTCAAACATGGCTGCAGACTCATCACATTCAAGTGCACCTAAACAATGAAAGTTGACTCATATTATTATTTATCACAAATCTATACTGGAAATTTCATGATTTCTTTGCTCCAAATATAAAATTGTTACAGATAAATATTTGCCACACCCAGTCTTTCTTGACTGTTTAATTCTATAGGGGGGAGGTTGGAAAGGTTTATTAGTTTCACACTGTAAAAATGGTGGTACACTTAATTCTTAAATTTGCTATTTGGATAGTACTTCAATGGTATAACCACAGCATATTTGTGCACTAGTTTCTTACAAAAATGAACCACATACACTAAAAGAAGGCACTTCAGTTCTAGCATTTCTTGCTAGTCAGTAGTCAAGTACTTCATTCAATGATGCTGGCACATAACCATATACTTAAACATTTTGGATCACTGACAAACTTTTGAACTGCATACCTTTCATTGTACTGCAGGTTCATCTGTCAATTTCAGTGAAGGTTATCTGTCTATCACTTATCAAATATCACAGTAGAATAGTTAGCACTCCCATTTTGTGTTCAAGATGCTCCACGTTCAAATCTCGATTTACAGACTCATCACGCTGAATTAAGTTTTTCGTGATTTCACTCAGTCCCTCCAGGAAAATTCCTGTGGTATAGTGCCTCAAATTAGTCCGTGACCACTTCCTTTCACATCTTTTATAGTCTGAGTTATTGCAAGTATTGTTAAATAAAGCATAAATAAATAATAAAAATATTTGCCTCTTGCAAAGCCACTATGTTTCAATACACAGAGGACAGAGTAAATAGTAACAGAGTTTCAGAAGGTTAACTGTATGTTACCAAATCCTGAAGGCTGTATGGTCTTGTGTCACAAAAACACAGAGAATGTGGGTTCAGAACCCACTCAGAGAATGGATGTTATTCTGTGTTTTACTTTGTTGCCTTGTTCATGCACAGGCCTTACAGTAATCTCATCCCCTAATGAAGATTTCCATCCCTTATTTGAATACGAATTTAGATGATGTTTACAGTACAGGAGGTAATGGTGTAAACTGGGCTAGAGTGTAAAGAAGAAAAGACAATTTCCAAGACAAATAATAATAGCATGTTCCTCAGTATATTCTGCGCTAAATTCTACAGTACTACAGTTTAGTTCGTGCTTTTAATTTTGTATTATTTGTCTCATACTAACCACTGTTAAATTACTGAATCGTAAACTTTACTTTATGAATAGGATGACCTTCCTCAAAGATATTTCCAATAGAATGTAATTGGTTCTTAGTGAATACAGACTTATGGAGCATGGTTTAAACTGCACACTATGTTACATCTGGTAACCATTGTTTGCATAAATATGGGGAAAAAATCTGCTTGTATATGGTTTGTGCTGGTGCCTTTTATTAGTGTGAAACTTCTTCCTTTAAGTCCACTTTTGCTTCTTCAACAAATCATACCATTTTCACCATATGTTAGCTTCTTTCAGTTTCAGAGTAATTAATTAAGTATTCTGCATAAAAGAATTTTAATNACATGCGTGCGCAACAGGTCGGTTCCGGTTATTTTTGGGTCCCCTTTCGTATTCTGCATAAAAGAATTTCAACNTTTTCACCATATGTTAGCTTCTTTCAGTTTCAGAGTAATTAATTAAAATACGAGGGGGGACCCAAAAATAACCAGAACCGACCTGTTGCGTGCGCATGCTTTGTAGTTACGAGTTTTGCTGCTAGATGGTGTTAGCTGGGGGTCTCCCGCGACTGTTAGTGAGCTGGCGTCAGTCTGAATTAAGTGGTTTGTGTGTGGTGCTCTGTTGTGTGCGTTCCTGTTTCAACCCTTTGGCGATTAGTGAGATGGCCGACCAGAAGGAACAAAGAGTGTGTCGCACACTCTCTCGTAATCTTCGTAACACATCCAGGTAAAAATGTTGGTTCACTGTTTGTCCTGGCGGAACGAACTCTTTGTGGACAATGCCATTCACATCAAAAAAACAAATCAACATTGTTTTCACATTGGATCGCACTTGACGCACTTTCTTCGGTCGTGGTGAAGTTGGAGTTTTCCACTGGCTTGATGATTGCTTTGATTCTGGATCGCACCCGTAGCACCAAGACTCATCGCCAGTCACAATTCTTTTAAGAAATTCTGGATCGTTCTGCACTTCACTCTTCAAGTCGCGGCAAACATTCACGCGGTTTTCTCTTTGGTCATCTCCGAGCAAGCGAGGAACAAATTTTGCAGACACCCGTCTCATGTGCAAACCTTCGGTTAAAATTCGCTGGACCGTGCTCCATGAGATGTTCGTTTCCTCAGAAAGTTGGTCAATGGTCTTTCGACGATCTTCATCAATTGCACGTTTGATTTTGGCAATTTTTCGTCATTTCTTCCTGTCGAAGGACGCCCGGGGCTTGGCATGTCTTCTGTTGACATGTTGCCAGATTTGAAACTGGAAAACCACTCGTAGACCTGTGATTTCCCCAAAGCATCATCATTAAAGGCTTGCCGAAGCATCCCAACAGTCTCGGCTGCAGTTTTCCCTAACAGAAAACAAAATTTCACGCACACTCTTTGTTCCTTCTGGTCGGCCATCTCACTAATCGCCAAAGGGTTGAAACAGGAACGCACACAACAGAGCATCACAGACAAACCACTTAACTGAGACTGACGCCAGCTCACTAACAGTCGCGGGAGACCCCCAGCTAACACCACCTAGCAGCACAACTCGTAACTATAAAACATGCGTGCGCAACAGGTCGGTTCCGGTTATTTTTGGGTCCCCTTTCGTATTCTGCATAAAAGAATTTCAACGCTCTAATTAACCTCCTCTTAATAGGACACAAAATATTTTTAACAGAAAATCAGTAAGCACGATTATAATTTACAAATATAACAAACTTCAAGTCTCTGTCTACATATCTCTACATGATCCCTCAGCTATTCTCAAATGAAAGGGTACAGGCAGATATAATTTCTTTTCTGTATTGTAATTTACATACCACTTAAAGTTCCCCTAACAAAAGATACACATTTTTTTAATGGTACATCATAATATAAAGTCACCGATGATTTGACTGAATTCAAAATCAAGACATTAGAGAATGATCAAATATATTTTCCAAAATTGGAAACATTAGAAGTCATCAAAGAAAATGGTACAGCCAAGTGAAATAAATGGAGAACCATTGTTTCTCAAACATATTTTACATATATCCTCGAAGAGGAAAATGAGAAAGAATGAAAAGACTGAAAGACCAATTCCAAGAAAACTTTCCTGGAGTCAGAACAGACTAATTAGTCTAATTCTTGATGATGATTATGGTGACGATTATGAAGCTGACCACTCACTTGCAAATTAGTTCCAAGGTCAAGAATACATGCCTCTATACATCCACTCCCCCATATATTGCTTAATTAGTTAAGCACAGGGACAACTTTAAATTTTACTTTACCTTATCATATTAAAGGTGCTAGATATTCTTCACTGATAGAAATGTGAATGAGTGTTACACTTTTATTTCTGACAATACAGGATGAAAGAGTATGAAGCTAGTATAGTCTCCAGTAGCATGATGATTATATCAAGTTTCATGAAGATTGGTTGAGTGATTTGGTAGTTGTTAAGAACAGGACACATAAATACAGATAATAATGCAACAGCCTTAGTTTGTCAGTTTCAAAAAGCTACAGCACATACTTTTACAGCCTGTAACAACAGAGAATTTTAAAAAGACTGTGTTCAAGGTTATTTTATAAAATTTAAATCCTTGTTTAATATATTTACTAATAATCTGTTGGACAGATTTTATTATTCTAAAACTTCATTCTTTGCTTGGCCATATATATTCTTAAGGGGTAAAATTTCTAGGTCTTACTCGCTTTATTACCTATTAGTTTTCCTTTCTCACTAGTCTGACAGTTCTCTAAACTCCACTTATATGGTCAACCCTCAAGCATGCCTCTGCTGCTTACAGTTACCCTGCATCACCTGATTCTACTAACCTGGAAAATATTCATGAAACAAGTAGAAATTTCATATTGCAATAGATTTTCAATATGACTCTGAGTGCATTTGCCCAATTATTCTAAACTATGTAAAAGTTCAGGATTCTCTCTCTCTTGATAAGCATCATAATAATCACCACTATCATGATGATTATTACTGTTATTATCACGCGTATTTTTACTCTTAATAACATATCATTCACGTTGTAAGAACTGTGATCTTTTGTGCCGCATATGAATGTTTTTATATTTATGACTTGATGTTCTACAGTCAATATGAAGAGTCACTGGTTTGGAGAAGTTAAATCAGAATCACACACACTGTGAAACTTGATACTGAGTAAATGATAGCATACTGATTTTCTTTCATACCCTTGCTGTCTCAGTGTACGTGTCTCCTTCAATATTTGCATCAACTCTGACAATAAAATGGCCACCATCCTTAATATTCTTTGTCACATTAACTTTTCCAGTCTCATGTTCTATAAAGAGACTGTCACTCAGAGGCCCTGAAAAAGAGATGCCATAACTTTAGTAATAATGTCCCTTCAAACTGTGGTTCCTGAACTCAACCAAGTCTCTTCATCTGTTGACTTCTAGCTTTTTGTAACCATATTTTCCATCTTTCCTTAGAAAACTGAAATTAAACTTTTTACTATAAATACAAAAGACCTTCTTGCACTGTGGTCATGCACAGAAATGTTTAAATAGGAAGGATACTGAAAAAGGGAAGAATTGTAAAAAATCAATAGAGTAAAATAAAGGGCGAGGGAAAAAATGGATGAGAAAGTGGTATGGGAACACAAGGGGCCAGTTGGAGTATAGTAAGAGATGACAATGAAGAGCAAGAGCCAATTTAATTTTAATTATTTTCCTATTATTTTGTTTATTCAGATCCCTTTTGTCTGTTTTTTTTTTGGGAGTGCCAAGGATTAGGTCTGTTGGCCTCTTCTAATTTTGAACATTTATAACCTCCTTGTGCCTCTTTTGCTTTTTACTTCAGTATTAGTTTTACACAGGTTTCATCTTCCATGTTTTGAATGTGGTATAAGTAGATTCTAAAGGATAATGACAATGAATGTGGTATAAGTAGATTCTAAAGGATAATGACAATGCTGCATAAAAGTAAAAATAAAAAAGTAAAGCTATCCCTGTAACAGGCCAGTTACTTACCAGTTTCAATTTTATACACTTTAGTGCATTCATGACTACAAAATGCACTCATGGTCTTTATGTATCCAGTTTGTTGTTCATAAATAGAAGTTATGGCCTCTGGGTCTCTGAAATGTACCCACTTTTGTTCTGAGGGTGCTGAAAAAACAAAACCAATAACTTCTTATAAATAACAGTTTTGTTGCAAGCATATTAACTGCTATAAATTGTCACATGTAAATTTAACATACATTTCTAACATTTCTTCGCAATGGATGCAGAAAATAAAGATCTACAACTGCTCTGAAATTCTGAAAATTTAATCTTCATGTCCTTGTCCAGGGTTGTCACAGTTTCATTGGCGACAGTGACAATTTGTCGCTCTTGAATTTACATTCCAACTCTACTTATATACAGCTAACCATCTTCAAGGACATACATTACACCACTTCAGAATTCCAATCTTTGCTTTCAAAGACACACATTCTGCTGCATCAACCAGTCCTCAAAGATTCATATTATACTACTATGTCAATACATCAGCCCTTACTTCAAAGACACATACTACATTAATCAGTTCTGACTACTCACCAAATAGGAATATACCAAAAAGGTTACTCTACACATACATATTCAAATTATCTTATAACATAGCCTTACAAGTTGATTTAGATTGATTACAATAGATTGAACACAGAAGATGAACAGTATGGCATAGGAGTGTGAAGGGCCAAAGTTGCATGAGATTATACAAATTTGATAATTTCATATTTAACAACTCAGAAATGACAGTGAATTTTTGTATTGGGGCAGGACTCAGGACTGTAAATTTTACATTTAATCCATATAAAAATTAAGTAGAATCTGATTTTATACATTATCCTCTCCAGATACTTATACAATTTTATGCTTTAATGAATTTTCACTCACAGTAGAGATATTTATAATTGATTTTTCTATATCGCCTGATAATGAACATTTATGGTTGAAACCTTTAATGTATAATCAAAAACAAACAAGAGGAAAGTTTTTTAACATAAATCTGCCATTGTTAATCTTACACACTGAAAGAACTTTGAACCTACATATCCACTAAAATGTAATTCAAGAAGTCTCTGGCAAAATGTACAATAAAGGGCAAACCAACCCAGTGTTTGTCTCCCTAATGCATTTTGTGTAATGGCAGCCCTTAATACACTTTAAGTAAATGAGAAGATCCATTATATGTATACAGTGGCCGTCTTGTAGTGCACACAATTTCACCTGTCACTTCACAACATGTTTCGGCAACACAGTACCATCATTAGGTGTCCCAACTACGTCAATCTATTGCATTGCCTGCCTTCATATGTTTTCACCAGCCATTTAAAAAGTACTTAAAAAGTCCGTGTTTGTCAACTATGATAAATTTACACTCGCTAAAACTTGTTAAGATAATTCATCTTATTTGTCTTAATTAAAACTTGTATGTGGTTCGTTCACTACGGGGTCGTTTTTCTTATTTTCTGTGTAAACCGCATCTTGTGATGTGTGTTCCCTTCTTAGCTGCGAGTGTTGTATTTTTTCATTTTGTGTTTTTAAATGGTTGGTGAAAACATATGAAGGCAAGCAATGCAATAGATTGACGTAGTTGGGACACCTGATGATGGCACTGTGTTGCCGAAACATGTTGTGAAGTGACAGGTGAAACTGTGTGCACTACAAGACAGCCACTGTATACATATAATGGATGAAAATCGGTGCAACAGGATGCTAAAATATAACATTATAAATGAGAAGATGTTTATGTAATTTCAAAATTCTCCTAAAATTTACACAAGAACACAGTTTGTAATAATTATATGATATATCTCTGTATATTGTTATAAGATGCATGTGCTAACAGTAATAAACATCCACATTCCACAAAAGACAGGTGATTTTTTAATTAAATGCGCACAAATTATTTACTTCTCAAAATGGACCTCATTTCATGGAATTTGGTTATATTTCAGCACAATGTCAATTTGTCTTCTGCTTCAAGATGTCAAGAGTAACAGTTAAATCAAAATATCACCTTATATATAAAACCATGTATAAACAGCTAACAAATGGAAGTGATAAATAAATTCTAGGAATGGTTGTTATTATTCAGCTGAAAAATTATCATCATCCTGTTTACTTTCCAAAATAATGAAGATCAAGCTATAAAAATACTAATACTGCCAGTAGTTTTCTATGGACATAAATTATTGTCCTTTAATGCGAGAGAATGTAAATTACATTTAATGTCTGAAAGCAAACTGATTAGGAACATAAGATGGGGGAATGTGTGAGGAAAATTTATGGTATTAACTTACATGAGGGGGTACTCTGTGATGTTTGCATGTTACATATGTCACCTAATATATGGCAAATCCAACTGAAGCAATTGTTTTGATATATGTATTTGTATCACACATAAATGAGTTCTAAAAGTACCCTAGAAAAAGTCAAACAATGTAAATTTCTTATCAGTATAAGTTCACTGTGTGTAATGGTATTCATTACCAAACACACAGTGTTGGATCAAGAGCAGAAAGGTTTTTTTCAATTGTCTACATATGTTCCTTGTGAATCTACATAGCTGTGTGGCCTTGACATTCATTCAGTTTTACAATATAGCTTCCCAGCCAGCCAGAAAAAATTAATCTGAATTAGGCAGCAAATGGTGTACTTAGAAAAGCAAAAGGTGCTTGGCAGGTTTGCAAAAGAGATGCACCTATAAACTGCAAACCAGAAAATCCTAGTGGCGCAGTTGGGAGTACACTGTAACTTCTAAAATACCTGAGGTAGACGAAGATGTACTAGTGGTGTCTTCACTTGGACAAGGTGTGCATTCTTGACATTCTGTTGTTTCTTCTGATGGATCAGTTACCTCTGGGCAATGTGTGGTTATCTCTGGACAGGTTATGATTGGCGGGCATGAACATGGTAATGTCGTCGATTCTGTTGCACAGGTTACTTCTGGGCATGTTGCTGTTGTTTCAGTTGGGCAGTCAGTGACAACTTCAGTTGTACAGGGTGGACACACTGTTGTTGGTTCCGTTGTACATGTAGAAGCTTCTGTTGTACCTGCAGGATAATCAGTCTTCTTAGTTCCATGTCTTCCCCCACTCTTCATTAGGCTGCATGTATTTCAGCTTCATTTTTCTAAAACGTAGCTTACTGTACATTTGCTCTTCACTGGTACCATCAGGGTACCATATGATATAAGTTAGTTGAGAGAGTGTGGCATGAACACAAATTTGCTAAAATACTTTTAAGTCTGCCATAAGAAGTTTGGATGATTTATAAAACGAAGGACTTCATATTTTTGTTGACACCTGTTATGCTGATGGCTACAATATTTTAAGTTGGTCTGAAGAATAATATTATAAAGAAAATAACACATTAAAAAGCAATTTCAAACAATATTCAAATAACGATTTTTAACCTTAAAACTGTAAATGTATATCTTAAGAATGTTCACTATATTTGTTATTCTTATATTAATACTAACATATAAATATAGTTTTTCAATTTTTCTTCTTAAATGAATTTACAAGATAAAAATACATAAAATTTGTTGTTACCAATTTGCTTTAGATCCATACAAGGTATTGCACTTTCAAATAATGACCTTCAACCTTAAAATTATAAATGTAAATCTTAAGAATATTTATTATATTTGTTATTCTTATACTAATACTAATATACAACTACAGTTTTTAAATTTTTGTTCTTAACTGAATTTTCAAGATAAAAATACACAAAATTTATTGTTACCATTTGGCTTATGATCCAAATGAGGATCACTGGTCATTGTGTAATATATGCTTCTAGCTTAAATTTACATTTTTCTCATTTACACAGAATCCAGACTGACTCTGGGGTCCATCCAGCCTAGTATCCAATGGGTACCAGGAGCTTTTTCTCCGGTGGTAAAGTGACCTATAGTGTGAAGTGTGAAGTTGACCACTCACCTTCATCTAGTACGAGGTCGAAAAAGGTGGAGCTATACCTCCACTCCCACATTTGTCTTAATGGCACAGTGCTTAACTAATTAAACACAGGGACAACTTTAGCTTCACCTTTTACCTTCAATTCAGCTTGTTTTACTTTGTGAATTTAATTGTATTACACTATAAAGTATATTATCTTCTTATATTTACAACACACCTATGAGCAAGAGTGCAAATACAGAGCGGAAACATGACAAAATTATGATCTGAAAAAATTCTATGAAAAAAGCATCTAAATAGATGATGAAAATCATAAAAGTGTATTGGTTTAGAATACCTTTCCAACTTATCATAAATTATATACACAGTATTCTTTACAAAACCTTGTTTTATTGATTCTATTTTTTTTTTCCTTGGCACTACAGCCCCAGTGGGCCTAGGCCTACCTCCATGAACTTCTCCGTTCACTTCGGTTTTTCTAGATCTTACACATACGGCAGGACTCCGTGCGTGAGTGATCAGCTCGTCGCAAGGCCTCTACCTGTAGACAAACACAGAAAAACGCACACAAACATTTATGCCCTTAGTGGGATTCGAACCCATGATCACGGCTTCCATGCGAGAGAAGACAGCGCATGCCTTAGACCGCTCAGCTACCATGACCAGCGATTCTCTGTTTAGTAACTGTAATTTTAAATATCAGTACAACAACAGGTACTTTACTTCTTTATAAACTATCCTACTTTCCTTCCTTTCACTTCAGTACTAATTTCTGTATTTGTATCATCCATGCTAAGATCATAACAGTTTTCGAGATGCTTTTAGGGAGTGGCATTGACATCATTACTTAGTATTTCTTGAAAAAATGCAGATTTTTACTTTCTCGTATTTTCATTATTATGCTTGTTTTTGCACGAAACTAGAGGTTCAGAGCTGAGTCTTGTATGGCTGTATGCTTTTAACCCCTTGATAGCATTCAATACAGTGGTCTCAATATTATTTCTAGTTCTAAATATTCATATCTGAAGATACTGATTTCATTCCAACTGAACTACTACAAGTAAATGGCTCAACACTGCATTCAGAGATACATAAATTTAGAACAAATCCAAGTATCTTACATCTGAGTACTGCTTTCTAGTTGTTTCATTTCCAGTGCAATAGAATTAGGATGAATTCCCTGGTTTAAAGATATGTGGCACTAGAGAGACTGGTGACACTGTTCAACAGAAATCCCACAGTTGGAACACACACCTCTGCAACATGAGTTCTCCAAACAAATGAAGACAGAAAGGGAGCACATTACACCTTGGCAGAAAGAGCAAAGTTGCTGATATTCCATTATTTCATTTAGGAACCACAAAATTACATTCCGTTATTTTAATTATAGAGGTTTGCAGGGTTTCCTGTGAAGAGGATGTGGGAGTGGTATTCGTATTCTCTCCCTTTCCTTGGGACTTTTTGAAGATATCAAAACAAAAAGAATAACTGTATCTAATATAAATAGTAATAATTACAATTATTTAAATCAAATGTTATTGTTCTATCCTGAACAAAAAAGATGATCTGTAAAAATGTTCTTGAACAGCTTAAGCATTTAAGAAAATATTCTCTGCCCCACCCCATTCCTGGAACAGTGCACAGAGGAATAAGTATCTTTTTATGTCATGATCCTAGCTAGGCAATACTAGGTAACTACAATCATTAAACAGGAACCAGTTAAAATTTGTGACAGGACTATTAACACACCACACATTTTAAAGGACATATATACAAGACGGTAGTAGGTGATAATCCTGCTTGCAATAGGTTCTAAAACTCTGAGGAAATAGCACTACATATCATGCTATTGAAAAACACTTTTGAGACTCAGATACTGTCACTTCAAACCTCACTTGCTGAAACCTAGAGACCATTGTAAAGTCCTAATAAACATATTAACATTATTTATTCAAGAAGCAGGGTCCATGTTGGAATAACTTTTACGATGCATGGTAAATCACAACTAGTTGCAGTGCCTGACTGTTGGAAGTCCACCTCCTTTTATTCTATTCTCTTCTACTTTGTTCTAATACTATGGAATACTATGGAGTATTTCATGATATAGAGAAAAACCTACTTTAAATGGACCCTTTATTGAACGGAATCTGTCAATTTGTCTTAAATGGAAATATTTTCAGGTCCTCTGACTTTGGGGCTGAAAAAATGTTAAATACCCTAGATTAAACAGAAACTGTCTAACGTGGAATCAGAAATCAAAATAAGCCTTTATACGGAAAATTTCCAGTCTTCTGGAATGCATTGTTTTGAACAATGCAGGCATCTTATACATTCTAAAGTAAAGGTAAAGCTATCCCTGTAACAGGCTGTGGAGGCCCATAGGGTTGTCAGATGTTGAGGTTCCCACACTTTCTAGACAATTGCCTTATAGATGGAGGCAAGGTTGTCAGCCTAACGCGCCAGCCACCCTTTACCTCCAAGAATAGTCCAAGAATATTCCTGGTACTCATTTCTGTTAGAGGCTGAGTTGACCCCAAGGCCATAATGAGGCTGGAAGGATTAGGTCAATTGAAAGAAATCCAGTGACCTCATGGGGACTTCAACCCGCCATCTTCCGGCTTGTAGCATTGTGCCTCAACCAACTACGCTACCGTGAGCCCCCTCCTATACATTCTACAGAATTTTATTTTCTCTATCTCTCTGAAATCAGCTTTCAATGGTACTGCACTACCTGCACTGAAATTCAACTAAAACGTTTGTCCCTTCCGGAAATTTTACTCAGTAAGGGCTCTAGGCCCATATTTTTACTTTAGTCTAGAAAATAAAATGTTTTTCATTTTTCTCCTCAAATTTTGTTAAAAATATGCTTCGTCCCAGTGAATATGTAATGAGTTACACATGAGATAAGCATACAAAATTCATGCTGGTCTTCACATGAAGTGGTCTCTAAAGTTATCCAATCTAAATAAAAACTGAAGTAGTTCAACAACTGTTTGTAAAATTTTCCAGTATTTCATGAAAATCCATCAACTGGTCTCAAGCAAAAGGTGCTTGGCAGGTTTGCAAAAGAGATGCACCTATAAACTGCAAACCAGAAAATGCAAGTGGAACAGTCAGGAGTACACTGTAACTTCTAAAATACCTGAGGTAGAAGAAGATGTACTAGTGGTGTCTTCACTTGGACAAGGTGTGCATTCTTGACATTCTGTTGTTTCTTCTGATGGATCAGTTACCTCTGGGCAATGTGTGGTTATCTCTGGACAGGTTATGATTGGCGGGCATGAACATGGTAATGTCGTCGATTCTGTTGCACAGGTTACTTCTGGGCATGTTGCTGTTGTTTCAGTTGGGCAGTCAGTGACAACTTCAGTTGTACAGGGTGGACACACTGTTGTTGGTTCCGTTGTACATATAGAAGCTTCTGTTGTACCTGCAGGATAAACAGTCTTCTTAGTTCCGTGTCTTCCCTCACTCTTCATTAGGCTGCCTTAAAATTATAAATGTAAATCTTAAGAATATTTATTATATTTGTTATTCTTATATTAATACTAATATACAAGTACAGTTTTTAAATTTTTGTTCTTAAATAATTTACAAGATAAAAATACACAAAATTTATTGTTACCATTTGGCTTATGATCCAGATAAGGATCACTGGTCATTGTGTAATATATGCTTCTAGCTTCAATTTACATCTTTCTCTTTTCCACAGAATCCAGACCGACTCTGGGGTCCACCCAGCCTAGTATCCAATGGGCACCACATCTAGTGCGAGGTTGAGAAAGGTGGAGCTATACCTCCACTCCCACATTTGTCTTAATGGCACGGTGCTTAACTAATTAAACACAGGGACAACTTTACCTTCAATTTAGCCTGCTTTACTTTGTGAATTGAACTGAATTGGTCTATAAAGTATATTACCTACTTATATTTATAACACACCTATGTGCAAGAGTGCAAATACAGAGGGGAAATATGACAAAATTATGATCTGAAAAAAATTCTATGAAAAAAGCATCTAAATAGATGATGAAAATCATAAAATTGTATTGGTTTAGCATACCTTTCCAACTTATCATAAATTATATACACAGTATTCTTTATAAAACCTTGTTTTATTGATTATTTGTTTTGTAACTGTAAATTTAATTAATTAACCAAAACTTCAACTTTTCTCTTACCATTTAATGCTATACAGTCTACGATGCTGAGAGTGTCATTAAATAAACCATGAATATGTAAAAAAAATCTCTTTATTCATCGTCTCGTAAAACAGGTTGAATCATTTTGTGCAGCACTTACTTATATGAAGATGTCTATCTTCATGAGGCTGCATAGTTCGTTGAAAATCAACCAACGTTTCCTAAGAATATTTCGCCTCCATCTCCAGGTTCAAAGAATAAGCCGAGCAAAGAACCATCGTAAAGGCGGTAGCAATCAGATCTTCCGAGTATGAAGATGGAGGTAACATGTTCCTCCGAAACTTCGGTTGATTTTCAGCAGGCTACAAGGCGTTAATTCCCAGAAGATAAACTGTTCATAGCCACAGCTTTGATAGCCTCAGATGCAACCTTTATTTATATGTTTAATATATCAAAGAGTATCTATATATGGAGATAAGAAATTATGAGAGTGTTTTAAGGTTCTTCTCTAGTATTCAGAAATGTTAATTCTGTGTAGTATACCTGATGGCATTAACACTATCCCAGATTGCTCTGCATCGAATGATTGAATTACAGTTATTAATGATTTTGAGCTGGACTCTGAAAGAAGAAGACCTGATCATATTTAAGTACTGTACTTATGCTGCAAGACGGAAGGCCGTTAGTTCAATTCTTGATGATGTGGTTGGATTTTTCAATAGACATAAATCTTCCAGTCGCACTATGGTCCTGGGATCAACTCGGCCTCTAACAGAAATGACTACCAGGAATCATCCTGGGAGAAAAGGGTGACCAGCGCGTAATGCTGGCAAACTCACCACCATCTGTGAGCTGATTGTCTAGATAATGTGGAACCCTCAAATTCTCACAAACCTATGGGTCTTCATGGGCTGTTACAGGGATAGGTTTATTTTATTTACTTTGACTACAAATTTATACTGCTCAGCTGAAAGAAATTTTACCGAAAATTAGTAAGGAAGAAGAAAATAGGCTCAAGAATTGCGTGTCACTCTGTATCGTGTCATGGGATGGAGAGCAATTAAGTGTATTATCGTCTTCTGGTAGCGATGTTTTTAAAATATCATTGAGACCAGCCAGCATGCTGAGCTCTGGTGTGTGGAGAAGCTGACACACCATATTATTCAATACATCTGGCAGCATGGCCGTGTCAAATACAGACCACAATCCATGGGTTGTAGCTTTCCACTCCCTGATAAAAACGAATGGCCTGTAAGAGCACAGAGTGTCTAGTGACTGTAACACGACAACCAGCAGTGTGTTTTATGTAACTAGTTGTAGCTATCGTTCAGTGTTAAAACCCCACTTCTACATTTATATTAACCGTTAAGAGATGAAGTATGCCATATGGGACATTTAAAGTGTAGTAGTCATGGCTGAAGTGCGCCTTATGGGACGTGTAGTCCACGCGCGTTCACAGTGTTTTGAAAAACTCATTTCAAGATAGAAATTTTTGTTTTACTTATATTCTTTTTCAGCATCAGCTTGATAAGTAAACAGGCTTCACTCCTGCACCATCTAACTAAATCTAGCCTTTGTGTGGTACTCCTGGAAACACCTGAAAATGCAAAGTCCAATGTCACATTTTATGCACTGTGTTCAGATACTTCTCCTTTTCGCATGTGAAGAGCACACACGACAGTTCAGTCTCGTGGTTGAAGAAGCTGGCCAGTGATGTCAATTGGCGTCCTCTAATCGACATATTGTACATGACAGAGCAGGAGGTTGACCTATGGGCCACTGTGGGTGAGGTGGACCCCTTGCAGCATGTTCCAGCATATTTTGCACAAGGGCGAGACAAAAGTCTCGACATGACAATTTCGCACATCATGACAACATGATGAAACTGTTCAGAATCGTCAAATCCAAGAGATGGAAGAACAATTTGTTTGTCCATTTCCAGGTACGATGACTGATGGAATAGCTGTTTGTCATTCTGTCTGCCTTGTCGACATATCCCATGTGCTTGTTGTAATCCGCAACAGTTGCTGGTTTGATGGCATTTCCATGCTCATTACAGAAATTGCCTGCTGCTGGAGGAGAGTGCATGTTTGTCAACATATGAATGTCACGTTTATCCTTCCAAACTAGTGCTGTCATGTCCCCTCTCACCCTAACCCGAACATCACCTTTCTTCAATTGAAGTTGTCTGTTGCGAAAGTCTTGAGGCAAGCCCTTCTGATTCGGTCTGAATGTCCCACAGCAACTTATTTTCTTCATCAAACAAGTCTGGTGATGAAAAGAAATTGTCCATGTACAGTTTGTGGCCCACTCCTTCAACCCTTCTGCAGAGGTGCCTAAACATAGCATATGTCGCTGTTACATCTCGGTCAGCACGTGTCCTGTCTTTCCCTAAGTAAACCTTCATGTCATAAGTATACCCAGCAGCGTCACAGAGTATGTAGATTTTGATAACGAAAAGTTTGTGTTTCTTAGGAATGTACTGTCTCAAAATCAACCCCCCTTTGAATTTGACAATTATTTCATCAACAGACAAATGCTCAGAAGGATTGTAATATTTTTGATATGCGTCATTTAGAGTATCAAAGAGCGTCCGAATTTCCCATAGTCGGCCATAACTGTTGGCATTCCTGTCAATTTCTGTATTGTTATCTGCAAAATGAATTAAACGAAGAATGTGAAGAAAATGGTGGCGTTTCAATGTGTTGCTATAGAAAGGCATGCAAAATTGCTCAGCAGTTGACCAGTAGTCCTTTAGTCAGTCCCTTATATTATGTCCCATTTGAATGATGATTCCTAGAAACAGGAACATCTCGGAGTCGGTTACATCAGTGCATGGAGAAGGTCCGTCTTCAAGTCTGTCTAGGTCCTGGTGATAATATCTGTTAGTCTCCTCCACCAGAAGCTGGATAATTCCTGCGAAGTAAAGCATGAAAACGCAGAGTGGGGAGGAATCCTTATTTATGTGTGGAGCTTCATTGAGATTTATCCCCACTGCTCCACCGGAAAAATTATTCACACCCCTACTGTCATGCTGGTGTGGTGGTCCGCAGGTTGTTGACAAAGATGGAGGCGATACGTTCCTCCGAAACGTTGGTTAACACCACATATACACGGTGCCAAATCCCAGAAGACTGCTTTCTTCATAGCCACCGCTGTGAAAGCCTCAAATCTTACACAGGTACTTTACTTCTTTATAAACTATCCTACTTTTCCTTCATTTCACTTCGTTACTGATTTCTGTATTTATATCATCTACGCTCAGATCACAACAGTTTTCCAGATGCTTTTAGGGAGTGGCATCGACATCATTACTTAGTATTTCTTGAAAAAATGCAGATTTTTACTTTCTCGTATTTTCATTATTATGCTTGTTTTTGCATGAAACTAGAAGTTCAGAGCTGAGTCTTATATGGCTGCATGCTTTTAACCCCTTGATAACATTCAAAACAGTGGTCTCAATATTATTTCTAGTTCTAAATATTCATATCCGAAGATACTAATTTCATTCCAACTGAACTACTACAAGTAAATGGCTCAACACTGC